GTCAAATCTATTGCAATACTTTTGCACAAAATTGATTCAAATATGAATCGAAACGAACTCGAAGTGCATTCCGAAGAGTAGACAAAATCATAACTCATTTCTATATTAATACAAATGATTTATTCAATAAAAATCACTCAAAAAGAATAATTATATAATTCTCTTGAAAAACAGATATATTTTGAAGACATAAAAATATATGTATAATAAGATTATAAGAATAACATTCGCTTTGAAACATAAATTAATTTGATTTCTCATAAACAACACAATAATTGCGATTTATTTATGAATAGATTTTTGAATCCAATCTATTGTTTGCAGCGATGCGTGAGATAAGGCGGTGTTCATAGAGTGGGGAACAAACAGTCGATAACAGCCCCAAACGGCCAGTCCTATGACTGTATATTTGATGGACTTCTTCACCACTTTAGTGGTCAATGAGGTCTCAGGAATTCTGTTTCAAAGTCAACATAATTAATGTAAAACACAATTCAGAAGTCAATACAAACACATACTTGAGAAGTGGTGCAATGTCTTCATCTTTGACTTGCCCCCACTTCTTGACAATTCCGGGCACGTGTCCGATGCCTACCACTCCCACAACCACTGAGGGCCGCATACCCGACGGCGACGCCATGTTGGGGACGGGCGATGAGGCCAACCACAGGGAATACGCCAAATATGTGTCCCTCTCCTCCACAAACACGCGACTCAATGTCGGGAATTCACCCGTCATTTCAGTCAACATTTCCTATTCATTCAAAAGTCAATACTTTAAACACAATCAACACTTTAAAAACAATCAGTATTTGAGACAAACCTCCAAAAGATCTTTTTGTTTGCATTTCTCGATCTCCTCTTTGCTGATGGACTCGCTGTTGAATATGATTCCAAACGCGAGCTTTAATTTCTGCCAAACGCTGAGCGATGATATGGCCCGCCGTAGGGTTATGTGAACGGGACGGTCACCCAAATGCACGACACAACCCGGGATTTTACTCGCCTTTTCAGTGCACAGTATCCACACAATTAGCGATTAAAATATTAGATTTTTTAGATAAATATATGGCTTTCAAGTGAGACCTCATTGAAGGCGCGCCTGAACTCCCCTCCCGGTGCCATTCCTAACTGTTTGGTCAGATGTGCCGATAGGCTAAGCAGTAGGACATACATCACTCCCTGAACGAAGCCATGCTATGGGAGAGAGACAATGATTCTAGAAGTGAGCGAATAATAAGATAATAAATGGTAAACCTCTCGGATATTATGCCTGATCTTCGCCACTCCCATAGTCTGCGATTCCTCCAGAATTGTCTTCTCGTCCATCGATAGTATACTTAAACGGCTTTCGCAGAGCTCGAGGACAATGATGTTTGGCTGAGCCCTTAGGATAGTCTTCAGGGACACAAACAAATCAATTAAAACTCGAGATAAATGAGAAGTGAGTCAATACTTGGCTGACGTCCTGTTGGCTCTTCTCACTGAAGTGAGCGGTTCCCACGAGATATAGTTTGGCGCCATTGGGTCCGTCCAACACAGTGACGGTCTCTGGAAGTGGTGTCAGATTAGGATCCGTGTCTCCACTCGTGGTGTCATTAGTGCCGTTGAATGTAATCAAGCGATTGGTTGCGTTGAGGACACGGGAGTTGTCTTCTAAGCTCAGAGTGGACTCCATGTCCTCCTCATCGGAAGTACTGCTCAGCTCCTCATCGCTCACCTCTTCGTACGACACGTTACCACTTGTTGTCTCATTAATACTGTTGTCACCGGTTTTGGTCACATCTGGCGTACAAATCACACAAACAGGTCATCAATATTTAGTGGTAAGTATTGAATCAATTGGTGGCAAACCATTGACGGTGTTGTCTGTAATACCATTGATGTTGTCATCGGATCCATTCAAATGTGGTCCCAAAGTATCCATATTTTCAGCGCTTTTCACACCACTGGAAGCGAAACTGTTGTCATTGTCTGCTGTGTGTGAAGACATTT